CAGAACATGATCTGTGAGGTTAGCGAGGGTCTGCCTCGTTCTTCGCACAGTGACTGATTGGCACCTCATTGATAAGGAGTGTGACAACTCAAAGTAGTGCGTGGATATCGCCAGCGAATAGAGCACTTAGAAGAACAAAAACAATATGGATGCGAAGGTTCATGACGGTAGATGACAAATGTCGGACCAGGGTCAGTCTTCCTTCTTACTTTCCTCGGACTTTTCAGCAGAGGCTTTATCATCTTCATCCTCGTCGTCGGGCAACGGAACATCCATGACTCGCTCACCGGCTTTTTCTAAAGCCCTGCAGCTCCATGTTCTTATACCTTTGTAGACGGCCTAGTATTCGCGGTCAGAAGTTGAAAATAAATGAGTAATCATGAACAAACATACCCAAAGGAAACTACCAACACCGATGACGATGACCAACCACGCGACGCGGTTGCGGCCAGAATTCCTTCCGCCACCAAACATCCCTGTGCCGCGCAGTGTCAATCCATGCCATGAAGAAAGCGCAAACACTGCCTTGATGAAAGACAGAAAGCCCAAAGAGGCTATCCCCTTGATGAAGTGCTCAGTCCAGGAAGCCTCTTCATTGTCAGGTAAGATACTCGACACAGGGCGCGTATCCCAGTAGTCCGAGCGGATAATGGGGTCCATAGGGTCCACGTATAGATTAATGATCGGGTCAGCAATAAAACCAAGTAAAAATACAGTCAACATTAGAATAATTAAAGTAAGTCCAAGCTGCGTCAATGGGCTACTAATCCAGTGTGCCCATCGGAGGCGCTCTAAGCGATAGTGGAAGCCACATGTCGGACAGTGCCAGTAATTCCTCTTGCCATAGCCTGGGTCCGCATGTCGCCAGAGTTGTAGACATCCCTCATGCACATAACGCGAGGATCCTTTGCATTTGCAAGGGCGAAGCAACCGACCCGACTCCGGGTCTGAGGACTGGTATGTCACGCGTTGCTTGGACTGAAGAAACCCAGGCAGGTGTTCGGATGGAGGAGGGAAGGTAGGGTAGACGGTCTCCAGACAGATGCGACATGTACGAGGAGGGTAATGCTTTTCGGAAGTCTCGCCTGAAGATTGCGAGGGTTCATCAGGTCCAGCAACATCTTCTGGACTCTGCCTTACATCAAAGTCAGGGTCCGAAGCTGAGACGGAGGCAGAGCTCGAAGGCCACTGCCAGAGCGGCTCATTGCGCAGGTCCATTCTGCCTTTGCCTGAACAGTCTCAGAGCTAATGGCATAATATGATTCTCAGACCTACCAGCGATCTGAGAATCTCTAGCAGCAATTGGTAGACGTCTGTGTCGAGAGATGCGCGAGGACGAGGAGAAAAAAGAGGGAAAAGTGGGTGAGGGAAAAAGAGGCCAGCTTAAAAAGGCGATGTGGAGAAGTCGTGCCGTAACCGCACTAGCCGCTCGCCTACCGTCACCGCCCGAGGCGCGGCTTGGCGCCGAACCAGCCGGCGGTGCTGCTGCTGCTGCGTCAACATCCTGCCGCCTGCTGTCCTTGAGGGTAGCTCCATTCTTGATCCCCCACGACCTCATCCCATCTCCGTTCACCTTTCATCCATCACATTTGCACACTCTCATACCCGCCGGAGCTTGTAATTGTGGAAAAACGCACTCATGGCTGATCGCTACTCCTTTTCTCTGACCACGTTCTCCCCCAGGTAAGAGAAGCTCACTGCACGATAGCTATGGTCCTTGCTAACATTGCTCAGCGGAAAGCTGGTTCAGATTGGTAATGAAGACAGCTACCTATTGTTAGCTGTTTAAACAAGTGTGCTGACTAGTTCTAGAATATGCCTTGAACGCTGTCAACCAGGGTGTAACTGCTCTGGGCATCAAAGGTATGACATAGCTCTGATCCACCCGGCCTAGCTTCGAATAGCTACTGATGACCACCGCTACTCAACAGCTACCAACGGAATTGTTCTGGCAACCGAAAAGAAAGCCAACTCGCCTCTCATTGACCCACCTTCCCTCTCCAAGATCTCCCTGATTACACCCGACATCGGCATGGTCTACGCTGGAATGGGCCCAGATTACCGTGTGCTCGTGGACCGGGCCCGCAAGGTTTCTCACACTGGCTACAAGCGCATCTATAACGAATACCCCCCTACCCGGATATTAGTGCAGGACGTTGCCCGTGTTGTTCAAGAAGCGACCCAGTCTGGTGGTGTCCGACCGTACGGTGTCAGCTTGTTGATTGCTGGCTGGGACGAGGGCGTTGAGCCTGAATCAGGAGAGGCTCAGCAGGGTGATGGTGAGGACGAGCCTAAAAAAGCAACCGGCAAGACGGGTGGTATCTTAAAGGGCGGCCCCAGTCTGTACCAGGTCGACCCCAGTGGCAGTTACTATCCGTGGAAGGCCACGGCCATTGGAAGACATGCGACGAGCGCAAAGACATTCCTTGAGAAACGTTACACCGAGGGTCTCGAGCTGGAAGATGCCATTCACATTGCTCTCCTGACTTTGAAGGAGACTATTGAGGGAGAGATGAACGGTGATACGATAGAAATTGGTGAGTTTCACATCTGGCAGATTCTATTGCTATCATGCTGACGATAACAGGCATTGTTGGTCCTCCTGCCGATCATCTGCTTGGTTATGAGGGTGTTGAAGGATCGCGCGGACCCCGTTTCAGGAAGCTGAGTAAGGAGGAGATTGAGGACTATCTCACCAACCTATGAACTACCCCATAGATCGATACAGATCTTGACATATGAGCCTTGTAGTATAATAGACACGACTCAAGTCTTGCGAGGTTCCCGCGATATGACAGGGCGTCCCGGCCACGCAGAAACCGGGGAGCTGAATGGTGGGTTTTCAGGAGTGACCCTGGAACCTAACGAAATATTGGGCGGTTCTAGACTCGCCAGTAATACTTCAAAAACCTGATCGGAAATGAATGCTATTGTCAATGAAAATGCACGACTGCACCTGTCTTCCTAGACCCAGTAATTGGGCTGCTGGGCCTTGGGCCTGCAGGCCACACAGCATCTGCAGGATGGACTGGACCCATAGAGCCCCCATTGTAACTTCGTAGTCAGTCCGTCCTTTTTATTTCCTGCAAAATGGCAATGACCAATCTAGCTCGGGGAGAAAACCTGGGCGTTTACACAGAAGCAATTCCGGCGTTGGACATTTTGATTGTCAGTGGGCGGGTCACTGCAGCAGTCACACGTCCATCAGCGCCAGCCATCTTGACTAGTGATCGCCAACGCCATTCCTTCCACCAATTTCTCCGCAGCAAAAGCAATGACTAAGACCAGCAAGCCTAAGCGGGGACTCAACAATGGCGATTTTACCTGTCATCCAGCTCGCCGATCGGACAAGACTTCCTCAAAACATCGTCCGCTCGTCCCTGAGTTGACATTCTAACCATCGTCCACCCTCGCCGTGGCCCAAGCTTGATCTGCCCCCAAACCCCAAGCCCCTCCACCACTGGCAACTAGCTTCGCATCCTTCCACTTCCCCAGATCTGACGGCGCTAGGACATTAGATGAAACTCTGTCAGAGGTGGCCCGGACTTTATCGACTACTCTGGATAGTTGTACCACGTCAGGACTCTGGATGCGGTGTGTTGTGCAGACTCCAATTCGATAACCTTTCCTTCTTGGGATATCTATTGATGCCTGACGCTACCGTGAGCTGGATTGACGGTTGCGACTCGTTTGTTCCAAGGCTGAGAACATGTGGATGGTACTCTGACCACAAGAATCGACATTGATGGCGCGGGTACTCAGAGACGGCGAACTGCCTACGACGACTTCATTCAATTAGTTGAGAGCTGAGCGTGTGAATCTCAATCTGCAATCTGCTCAGGTGGCCATTGGCGTTGTAGTCTTCACTTCCGTTGGCTTTTGAATATAGCCTGTGACGCTGGCGCTATCGATACCCGGCTCGTGCACGCGGAATGCTAATTCTGTGTTTCCCTGACTTCGCATTTATCGACTACTATGTCCGTATCATCTACGAAAGACCCGCTGGATGGCATCAGCGGCGAGCTCGCAAGCAGTGGTGGTGCCTTCAAAGCCACTTTGTTATTCTTCATGGCCATTGCCTGCTACAATGTGGCTGAGCTAGTTGTCATGGTCCTATCGACCTTCCGACGATGGAAGGGCCTATACTTTTGGAGCCTGCTGTTATCGGGCTGCGCAGGCGTGCTACCATACACATTAGGCTTCATTATGAAGTTCTTTACTCAAGCCCCTTCGAATCTCTCTGTCACTATACTTAGTATCGGCTGGTGGGTCATGGTCACGGGCCAGGCGGTCGTCCTGTACTCACGACTCCACCTCGTCATTTGCGACGAGCGCATCCTACAGCGCGTGCTGTACATGATTATTGCGAATGTATTCCTCCTACATGTACCCACGACAGTCCTGACATACGGATCCAATGCTGTCGGTGATGAACAGCCGGCCTGGGTAATTGGATACAATATCATGGAGAAGGTTCAGATGACCGGCTTTACCATCCAGGAGATCGTTCTGTCTGGACTATACATGTGGGAGACCTTGTTAATGCTGCGGATTTGTCTTGTCCGTGAGAACCAAAAAATAATGTATCAGTTGATTTGGATCAACGTTGCTATGCTGGTTATGGACCTCGTATTACTGGGTCTTGAGTATGCTAGCTTCTATGCTGTGCAGATCACGCTGAAAGGAGCGATATACAGTATCAAACTGAAGCTCGAATTTGCTGTTTTGGGCCGGCTCGTTGCTGTGGTACAGAATCGCCGGCCGATATCGATCGACCGGGACATCAACCTCTATTCTTTGGATCGAGAAACTACCAGCGCTCCAGATCGGAGCCTAGCATCTGCTGGAGAAAGTGTATCCAGTCGCACACCGTTTTGTGTGCCAGGAACAGGGTACGCGAATGGAACGCATAGAAACATCAACCTCGACACCGGAAAACTCGTGACCATGAGGGAGCTTTCAGCCTGGGTTCAGCGGCCAAATGACGATCACTGCTGACACACAACTCGCATTCTTGACGATGATGTATCGACTAGTTCATTCATAGAATTGGTGCGAGTGCCATAAAGCGTGTTTCAGCACCTGTGCACTGCGCCCTATTCAAAACAATGGGTATATATAGAACTCTATACTGAGGCAGATAATACTTTGATCCTCTGCTCACAAACCACGTCACCTTTGACCTACTCAAATACCCCTTCCGAATCTTCCTCATCCTGGCTGTCCGCAATCTCCTCTGCCTTTCGCTTCCGCTGGCTTGCAGTATCGTGAGCTGAGTCGGATTGGACATCTTGTGCTTGCTCCTTCTGTGCTTGAACCTCCTGGGTCTGTATCTTCTCTAAATGCTCGTCTTGTGTGTGCCCTTCGTGCACAGGCTCTTCATGCACCAACGCTTCAATTACGGGCTCTTCTGGTGCAGCTTGCTTTTGCGCAGACTCCTCTTGTGCAGACCCTCCTGGTGCAGGGTCTTCGGGTGCAAGATCCTCTTGTGCGGAATCGTCCTGTGCTTGGTAATCTTCAAGCTCTGGCTCTTCCTCCTCCACCGGTTCCTCTTCTAATGGTTCTTCCGGTTCAAGCGCATCTTCATCCTGTGCTTGCTTCTCCCTGGCTTGTACGGCGACGCTATCCTCTTCATTACCCTCGAGCCCCATTTCAACAGCATACAATCCATCCTAGTCGACAAGTCAACACACCTACAGCCAAGCAAATATACCGACAGAGGAAATCAAAGAAGAACTCACATTTGCAACCCGAAAAGGCACTACGGTTGTTTTGTCCCTAACAGTGACAAGCCTCCCATCCCTCTTCATGACCTCGGCAACCCTCACCCATCCGCCATCCCCACCATACCCAAAGTCACCATAAACCCCGATCCGAGCACGAACGCACGATTCCCACCCCCTTCCACTCAATATGGGCGACAGCGTTGCCCTCACCTGTCCCCGAATCCGGGTATGCGTTTGGTTGATAACCAAGGTTGCCAGATTCGCCTTGCTTGCGAACTTCACCAACTGAGCAGCAAGATCGCTAATCACGTTCCACTTTCGCGTTGTGAGCCATTTCTGGACATCCCTCTGCGCTTGCTGCGGTTGGTTGATATCACTAGGGTTAGGGAAATAAGGAGTGAAAGGGGCAGAGACAGAGTCTATAACAAGGAGAGTTGTGTTTGGGGGTGGAAAAGAGGCAGGTGGATGATGGAAGAGAGAGAGGAGATGAGGAAGCGTGGGGGCACGAATATACGTTAGATTCTCCGTCAAGGACCGGGGAGATGACGGCGACGTGGGAGACTGCGACTCCAGCAGTTTGCGCAGTCGAGGCCTAGGAAGCGGCGATGCCGTATCTTCAATCCCCCCAAAGAACAACATGTTAACTCATATCACAAACACACCCGAACAAACACAAGCAATAGATCAAACATACCTATCCAAACCACTCCCTCCCCCCTCCCCAGCGCACCAGCAGCAGCATTCAACCTATCACCATTCATCAGCACACACATTACCATACTACCCACCCACTCCACTCAAACCACCATTAGATCAATATAGAGAAATAAACTCACCCCAACATCGTCTTCCCCGCCCCCGGCGGCCCAAACACCTCCGTAACATGACCAACCGGCAACCCCTTTAGCTGTTCTCCTTTTTCCTCAGTAAACTCACGTATTCGCTCATTTGTCGTCGACGACGATATCACCGGTGCAGAGATCGCCTCATCCAACGCGACCAGCCCAGTCGGGATGGCCTTTCTGCCTGAGGCAGCATCCGGGAACGCGGTCGACGCGTGTAGGGACTGCGAGGCCGGGAAGGAGATTACGCGGTCTGGTGAGTAGTTAGTTGTAATTCCCCTATAAGGAAATAAATTTGAGAATAGACATACGAGGATCCTGAGTAGATAGAGGAGGAAGATCTAGGTGGTTCATTTCTGGTTGTTGTGTTGGGTTGTGTTGGGTTGGGGGGATGGATTCACGCGTCACGCGTTTTGGTGGTAATTGATGTGTGTCTATTGTTGGGGATGAGGGTGGGTGGGGGTCATGATCGGGGTATTGTCATTATTTCGTTGAAGTGATGGAAGTAGAGTGCAAATAGATGAATAGAAGCAATAGAATTGGCGGACTGTTTCTTAGTCTGACTGGGTATGCTGGAGTTGAGGTTGGATTTACAGTGGTGGTCGATGCATCCATCCATTGACAGTGAGTGAGTGGTGTTCCGCTCTTCCTTCCCGGTGGTTCACTTTATCTTGATTATCTAGGCTTTCGGCTTCGTATTGGATTTTACTTCATTTGTGTGATCACAATGACTAATGGGGGCCGGAAGAGAATCTTTTGAATGGATTTTAGTTTTTAAAAAGCGTATAGTAGTAGGAATAGTGTTTGTGATCTTCCCAGTAACTCTTCAGACTTAATCCTTATCGCGGTTTGCGTATGTCTACTCTAATATTATATGCGAAAAGCAATAGCATTCACAACATGTCGCACAGTACATCATAGGGACTACAGTAATTCAAAGTTATTTGAATAAACAGCCAGTACAAAATCTGGCTTATAAATACGTCCATAAAAATGCTTCATCAAACGATGACGCAATCGGGTCATGCCTCGTCATACAGGTGTCGAGATTCCCCAACCTATTTGGAATCTCCACCACGCAAATGATGACTTCTGTGAAGATTTACCCGAAAATTCCAAATAACTTAATACTTCTAACAGTTCAAGGAAGCTTCCGGAGCCATGGAAAGTCTCACTTTTCAAGGGAATACCCTGTTGTATGCAGGAAACTTCCCCCGTGGAACTGGTAGCCCAAGGCCCACCCACTCATATATAAACAGCCACGGCCCTGCTAATCATCCAGTCTTCCTTTCATCATCAGCAAACACAGTCTGATCAAAGTCTCTAATATATAAACCATCACCAAGCAACAGAGGGGGCGTTCGCCCCCTCAACACTATAAACAACCTATATAATACACAATTCATTACCATGATTTCGCGACACGAAGAATAGCGAAAAAGAAAGCGGCCCATTCCCATATCAATGGCACTGTGGCTTCGTGGACAGAGTCCAAAAGTCATGGTGATCCGCAATGACTCTTGGCTCTGTTCTGTCCAATTCAAGGTTCTTCGGCTTGAGCTTAATCACTGTGCCTGGCATGTCGCTGCATCAGTCGTCTCGATGCCGTCTCATCAATGGAATATTTTCCACCATGTGAACCGAAGATGACTGAAGAGAGCTGTACTGGTGCTGTTGAGTAGAGAACTGACCTTCGATGGACATATGGGTCTGTGCTGGGTGGAGAGGCGGAGTTGCGGCATATCGCGCTGTTCTTCAACGTTTCCCTTTGAAGTTGTTGGTATATAAAAGCTCATAATGAGTCGACAAATGATAGCGAAATGACCAATGATGGGTTGCCCTGGCCCGGTTTTGTCTGGACATTGATCGCATACACATCCCTGATAGCATCTTCCCTTTCTTTCCCAGAGGTCACGTACGCGGTATCTAAGTGTTGCTTCGATAGATATAAAACTATCTTGGACATGAGTGCCTGTGGCAACTAGTACCGAAGAAGGTACGAAATCTTGTGGGTGCTATTTGCCGTAAACTGACACGCCATGGGGTCTGCAAAGTGGAATACGGATATATAGAACCTTACCAGGCCAAAAGAGGCAGACAGAGAATAAGAGGGCGGAGCTATTTGACTGCTTTGTCGATAATCGAGGCCTCAATCTTGCATGGCAAGAAATGCCTAACGAACCGACCCATCTACAACCGTCGTGGTTAGCCGGAGAAATGTCATGGGTAGAGAACAAGACGCTCCTACACAAAAGCCAGGAATAGGATGAACCACAAAATAGAATCGAAGAGGAACTACTAGTGATTGCGGTGGGAAGCTCCAGGGCAGTGTGAAACTCGGCGAGTTCAGTTGTTGAGAAGCTCCCTGAGATACCTTTCCCAGACCCCATGACTAAAAGGAAACATGCTACAAATGTTGTTTCTACAACAAGCTGTTATTTTGCTACTACCCAGCTTATCCGCTACCTCCTCGAGCATCTCTTTGTAATGACTTCTTTCATCCATGCTCGTCACGCGAGACGCCCGAGCCATGCTTGAGTACTTCCACACGATTCTCCGACCTTGAGGGAAAGCCCCTGCAACACCACGAGATGCTTTTCTTCTCGAAAAATGCTTTTGTTCTCGCGAGAGTACAAGCTCATCCCAGAATACTCCAACCCGTCAGCAACACAGTCCAGCTACCCCTTTTTCGAATATCCTTTTCAAGGTGCAGACAGGACATCAGAGCGATGCCTTTTAAGGAGCGGGTGGATCGTGATATCTTTTCTTTCCATACCACAGCTGACGCTGTATCGACATGCGATTTGCACTACCATTCGCCTCGCTACAATATGATGCTCTCAAAGATTGGGTGTGGGTGTGCTTCTGCTTGTGCGATGGCCTGTTCTGAAGAACGTCAGCATAGAGAATAAACATAAGATAAGAAGGCAGGGAGACGGACTATTGTGATGGCAGATGCGGGTTTCTTGAATCCTGTGACTCCCGTATCCTTTGTTGCCCTAACCTTCAGATCACTTGTGCAATGTGCGCCGTTCTGGTATCAGGGAATAGCCCCTCGAGAGCTTATATACTAAGTCCGTTGTTATTCAGGCAACATCCTCTCCGGTTGGTTTGCTGCAGTCAGTTGCTATCTGATATCAAGAGCTGGAGAACAAGTGATTGTGGAAGAATACCCACTCTCGACAAATGGGAGTACTGAGCATTTTGAGTATAACAATCTTCCCTGAAGTCCGGGCAGTTTTACATCAAGCGGAGGCTAGTGGCTGGTACAGCTTAGGCTGCGTCGCATGGCTGGCTTGAGCTATCGATGATATTGATACTGTCTGAAAGGAATGTACTGCCTTGGCATCGAATGCTGCGTTGCTTAGCCGAGTATATCTGATCTTGTCGAATACACAACAGTGAATGTCCATGATTTTGGGGCTGGCTCTTCGGAATAAACAGCATTGACGAAGTGGCACGACATCCAATGAACTCGACAGGCCCCCTCCGGACTGTGGTCCTACTGAAGATGAGGAGTAGGCAGAGGAGATGTTTACGCGCACATTGGGTCCTTGCTTTCACCCATCAGCCATGCAGAATCGGTGCACTTTGACATTCCCCACCAGGAATCCGGATCTGGTGAGCACGACAGACTTTTTTCAAATGGACATGTTGCCAGTTAAAGGCTTTCTTATGTATGTGAAGACACTTTGAATGGCGTGTGAAAGAATTACTGGGGCAGAATAGGGTCTGCTTGCTGATCCAGGGTCTATATATATACTACACCTACCAAGACACAAAGACTGTCAGGAAAGGAGAAGATCATGGGTCGAGTTACTCTGGCGGATTCAGATCAGAAGTTCTGATCCATGACCTTGGCGAATCTTGCCTTGCTTGGCGTTTTTGATGATGATAGACTCCCTTTACTCATGATTAATGGAAGTATGGTGGAGGAGAAGTGTCAAAACATTGTGCAGGGGCTCAATATACGGGGTGGGTATAGACTAGTTGGCATCCATACCAGACACGGTGCGAATCATCAGTCTCAATTGACACTATTACCTTTCCCTGCCATCCATTAATCCGTTTTGTTCCTTCATACGTGCAGGGCACACGAAAATGAGATGGCCAAATATTCTTCGATACGAGTGATAATATGCCCCATTCGAATATTTCGCTCTCAGACTCGGATTCCGAGCCTGAGGTTCCTAGACCTCTGAACACGCTCCATATCATGATCCGAGAGATGCTGTATGAGGTGCGAGAAAACGGGTCCACCATCTCGGCCCTAGAAGCATGGGTTGAGACTGTGGACCCAGAAGCATATAGAAAGTATCCATGGCCTCAGGACCTTATAGACGCCCATGCCCACTACAAGGCGTTAGTCGCGGAGATTAACTCGAAGAGGATGGCTTACAACAATTCTGTTCATTACAGCCTAAAAGAGAAGCTGCGCTACACACCAAAAGTCCAACTAGAACGCCTGACGCAAGAAGAAGTGTCTAATTACAGCCGAAGAGATACCTCGACATTGATCATCAATATCAACATCAACATCTACCTATTAATCCTGGTGATCCATGTCTTCTGGGTCTGGCGCTATAGTACCATCTCTTACTATACCCCTCTCTTGACATCATGGAAGAAAACGAGTCAGCTTCTCGAAGTGGGTATCATCATTGACAAGATCAAGCAGACAAAAAATATACAAGCCAGACTCATCATCCAGACCTACGGAAGCAGGCAAGAAGACGCAAAAACTTTCGAAGCACCATTTGTCAGTTCGGGGGCCGGTGGCCCTCTGTTGCTTCCAACTTCATGAAAGTTACTAACTTCCACTCCTTCCGATCTGAAGCTCTCTTCGAGGTCTCTCGTACACTTATCGCAAAGCCCCGAGAAGGCTACGAAGCCGTGACCCGCGCGTCATGGACCAATTTCCCTTTCCTTGGGCCAGTACTGTAGCCCGCACGTACCTACAACGCCAGCTGTGGCTCTACATCCGTTGCTTACCGGTGACGGTCAATGAGCTCATGCATAAGTATCCAGAAGGTACTGTGGAAATATTTCTGGGACCCGCGACCCGGCCAATTGCGAATGTCCAGGCGATGTGGCCACTTGCAGAAAGGGGACTGGGTGTGATCGACTTCAAGACGATGCAGAAGGCGGATTCAGGCGTATCTGCAGAGTGGCTGTGGAAAGGGCTGTATCACCGCAAAATTGACTACCCTAAGCTGACAGACCTCTACTGGAAGCTTTTGTTGAACAAAGTCACAACGGGAGAGTGAAAACTCCTATGATTGGAGATTCCTTGCCTCATCTCCCGCTTGTCTCCCTCTGTCAATCCAGGTTGAACTACAACTCAATTCTGTTGTCCTCGATATATAATCACTGATAAAAGAAAAAAGAAAAAGAATACTACCCTCTAAGCGAGCAGTGATGCTTTGATGGTTTCCAAGTACGAAAGGTCTACACTATACGCTCGTCATAGAATAGACACTATACAACCATCCATATGTCTTCGATATATAAATCATGATGCAGGAGGAACTTACCACTACCACCTTCTGAACAGCGCCAATACCATGGCGACACCAAGCTCACACCGTCGTTGCAGCATAAGCTTAGTGCCGAGGTGTATGCTACAGGTCCTCAATGGTGTGGCTCGTTCGTCTCTATATACAAAGCATACAAAGAAAACAGCGATCATGTGAACGAACTGATCCGCGTGCAGCATACCCATCTAGCAAGAAATGCAGAGTCTGTACAAATTAGCGAGAAGGAAAACAACGTCGCCAATGCATCGCTCAAATTCATCTCTGAATATACCAAATTCCAGAGGATCAAGATGGATATGAAGGTAGTGCTCTGGTTGTTATCACATGATGATATAAGTGTTTCTCTTCTCGGCGTGATGTGGCTCGGTTCGACTTTCGAGAAACATACATGATGGTATGAGAAGAATAAACCTGCCGTCAAATCTACCCCCATTTTGTCTTACAAAGGTACTATGCAGTTCCGGAATGAAAGAAAGACCCTTCAATATGACGTATTGATATCATCGTCTACTTCATACTCGACTACTACTGATACCAATCACGGCTTCTCCGCCCTAGTTTATGTCTGTGTTGTTGCATACCGATAACAAAACAAGGCTCTGCGTGGAGGGCTCTTGGAACATCCATTTCCGAACTCATGTATTATCTATACAAGCTGCACAGAAGAAGGAATCTTTGAGATCTGGACGAATTGTTGTGGTGGTGGTTGGTTAGTTGTCTTGTTGATGGCGGTCACAGTAGATAGTCAACTACTGAATACTAACTAATTAGTGGTGGACAGGCAGACAGTCCAGTACTAAGTAGTATAAGTAGTATAATTGGAGAGGAATTTCTTCCCAGAGAACACAAGCCAAAGTCACAAAATGAAATATGTAAATAATAATTATTAACCGCGGGATAAGCGCCTTGATTGGTGTGGAACAACCCCTACCGACGCAGTGAAAAGAGCGCACTTCCATGGAGAAATTGATATGATGCGGCTGCTGATTGGAAGGAAGGGGATTTCGAAGGTTCGCCAGAATTAATCTTACCATAATCACTAATGATATGATAATCCTCCTAGTGCAGGAGTCGGTTATGTACAAAGGTCCTAGTCTTATCTGACTGCTGCTGCTGCTGCTGCTACTGCTGCTACTGCTGGTCTTAAAAACAACAAATTGCCTCCGATTAGTGGGCAGAAATATGAGTACAATGGTGCTGCTGTTGCGGGCAGAAGTGTCAGCTGTGCCGGGGGAAAGGACACAAGTCCACCCGATGTACCAACGCCTCCGCCCAGTATATACCCTTTCCGACATCCTCATCACCCAACGCGCCAAAATCCCCAAGGAGAAGCAGAAGAAGTAGCCGATCCCGGTGCGTAGTGACAGGAGGAAAGGGTACACGTGACCTCGGAAGGAGATAGGGAACCACGGCCGGACGAAGGGAGACCACGTAGCGTTACTAACGATCACTCTTTGCTTGTGAAGCAAAAGACTGTATCTTATGCCTAAATTGAATTGAAACCTCTGAGATACATTGAATTTCCTCCCTGTAAAAGCAATTTGAATGTCACCCCGTAATGAGGAACGGGGAAAGTAGCTGGATCGCCTTCACAGCCGTGCCCAGGTACTATCAAAGCGGAATATAGATGTAGGGATCTCTGGAGTCTTTGTGGTTGTGGTTTGGCGATGAAAAAGAGATATCTTTGGCATTGACACTTAATTGGATGGAAATTTTAGTATTTCGTTCAAGAACTTAATATACTACATACAAAATTTTCAATAATGGAATATACTAGCCAGTAGGTTAACACGCCATTGCCAACATGTTATTCATAGGTCTAATCATGTATTACTCCCTCTTACCATGAGATGCTCATGCAAGCTGGGACTAAGCAATTGGCCGGAGGGTTACTTCTTGGTTCTACAGTCAAGATGTAAGTGGGATCTTTTGTTCTCTTCTTGCTATTAGTGAACAAGACTACCAAACGAACACCTTTCTTCTATCTTCAAACTGAAACCAGAAGCTATTCAATATCCTACAATACCTGTAAGCGGTCGAGGTATGGCAGAAGGCCTCCAAGCAATTCTGCAGTTACTAAAAGCAGAAATGTCTTGACTTGATGCGCGAAACTACTCTAGATCGAAAAATGATATAAGGGGTTAAAATTAAGCCTCTGAATTCTCATACCAGCACAGGGAAAGAAACCTATCATGATGAAAAGGAGTAAAAATAAAACCTGTGCCAAGACATGTAAGACAGCATCGTAGTATTGATCATATTACCATCAAACTCCAATCCATGAGTTCCAATTTCCTTCAAAGCCCTCCCTCCACTCACAACTGGCTTCAAGTCAAGACATTCAGCGTGAAACCCTTAGTTGTGGCATTTTGAGCTGATCATTTGTCATACTTAAAAAAAGTAATGATTATCTAAATCCACCTGAAAATCTAGTTGTGATGTGCAAAACCCACTATGCAGGACAATTGCAACCCATACAGGGAAAAGGGTGGGGGAGAGAGAGAGAAAGAGATTATCAACTTACATAGCAGGAGTGAGGGTATACGCTAGCGCCACACCCAATCTTTGCCCTTGGGGATTCAACGGTCCAGGCCTGAGTGAAACAAGGGTGCATTAGTATCTTGTGAAAAAAGAAAATCTATATACATATATGAGGGTAGTTATGTGTTCATACCCAAGCCTTATCTTGGCAGTCTTCCTGCTCCTGGCAGTCACTATCGGAGTAACACTATGATGAGGAAATAGAGTATTAGTATATACTCTTTAAATATTATTAAATCGACGCCAGAATGTTCAGACATACGGTGTAATCGGTCGCACACCAATCCCAACTGGCTTGTGCGGCGTCAGATACGGGCTTAGGGGCAGCCAAGGCACCGGTGGTGATGGCAAGAGTGGTGAGGAGGAAGCTGAGGACCTTCATGGTGGGTGAAAGAAGTAAGCAGGGACAGACTTGTAATTGTTGTTGTTGTTACTTGGTAATGATTGTAACTTGAATCTGCTTGAAAAGTAGGTTCGTTGGGTTGGGGTGAGGGTCTTCAATTTATAGATGTTCTATCCCACCCAAATACCCCCTCAAATGGTCAAATATACCACAAAGGAAAGAGTAAATGAGGGACTACAGACCCAGCTGATCAGGTTCAGGCATGAGGATCCTGTAATGATTGTTCTCCAAGACTGATGATCCAGTATGTGAGACCCGGAAGCAAGGGCGCAAAGAAAGACAATTAGATCTACATGTTTTAACCAGAAGTACTGAGAAGTAGAGAATTAAAGTTTGTTATCAAGGGACTGAATGAAAGTGGAGAACAATTATTGGTTCAAATCCCGCAATGTGGACTACGTGAAAATTCAACCCCGGATCCAGTCGGATTATTTCTCCGCATTCTTCTTGGAGTGATGGGGGAGAGAGAGAGAGAGAGATTATCTGCCATGCAGAATGAGTAGCGACCATTGATTATGACTAGCAATGCGCTATAACCATAGGTGAGCCCTATAGATACTAACTTGAGCTATAGCCGGCAAGTATCAATTCCAATTGAGCATCATGGTTAAATGCTCACCGATCAATATAGACTACTGTATGTACGAAGAGCCCATACGGTCTAGTCTCACTGTAGCTGTTCAGTGGCTGGCTGAAATTGTCCGCAAGAGGAAGTTGATCATAGCCCCAGACCAACTCATCCCCTCAGCATCCAGAGAGACAATGTTCCACCACGTCCAGTGGGGAATGTCGTCCCATAACGCCACTGTAAAAGTCGAACACAGTGGAGCGAGATGTCCTGCGGTAGAATTGGGCTTGCTGATATCCAGATCATGTGCTGCTTCGGGTATGGATGGACAAACTATGCGGGCTAGCGGGGTAGAAGAATTATGCTGCTTAGAATGTACAAGGGATTCATTGATACCAACAGCCAGTGACTATTCAATGATTCTATCCCATCTTTGTTTCCAGTCCGGTCGTATACTATATCATGCCATATCCAATTCAACCGGAATCTCATATATCCTCCCAAGTCTAAGCCAATCCCATGTCCTTGTAGAAGGCATCAGTCTTGGGCTCACGGCCCAAGAACTCCGTCAACGTCGTCATCTCATCTTGGCTACCTCCCTTCTCAAGCACCTTGTACCGGTAGCGACGGCCAGCAGTCGGGTTCATGGGGTCGTCCTTAAAGACGGTGTAGAACATATCGGTCGAGTAGACTTGCGAGCTGTTGTTACAGTATTAGTACATGACATATAATAGTCACACCAAAATGTGGGAATGGACATACCTCAGGTAACCATAATAACCAGCATCATAGCCACCGATCAAGTGACCAAAGGTGGCTTCACCATGGCCCCATTCCTCGCCCAGGCCCAAGCTCTCTGGGCCCTCCATCTGTGTGATCTGCTTGCGCAGGGAGTTGTATGTAGCCGAGATGGGAAGCTCCTTAATCTTCTCGTGGCTCTCGGGCTGGTGGACGGTCATGTCGAAGATACCAAAGTGCAGCTGGCGAAGGTTGAACAGGGCATCGTTGACGTGCTTGGTGCGGATGAGGTTCTCGATAACGGAGTCAGGGATTTGCTCTGAGGGGGCTTCCTGGCTACCGGCTTGCTCCTTCCAGGCGGCAAGGTAGTCGGGAGAAAGTGTGGAGTAGTGCTTGCTGAGGGACTTGAGCTGGGAAGGGGTCCAGCACCAGTTCTCGAGCATCTGACTGGGTGCTTCGACGAAGTCACGGACGGTGTTAGTGCCGTGGAACCGGGAGTATATCGTCTTGGCAACCAGGTCGTGGATGCCGTGACCGAGCTCGTGGAAGAGAGTCACGACTTCATCATGCTTGAGCAAGCTGGGCTTCTTGGGAGTCGGCTTGGTGAAGTTGCACACCAGCGCAGTGGCCGGGTAACGGCGGTTGCCCTCCGCGTCGATGAAACCCTATAGATGTCAGTAAATGTTATTATTTTGTGCTGTGTAGGGTGCCTACCGGCTGCAAGTTGAAGTTGGCAGCGTGACCGTACTTGCCAGTCCGGGGGAAAAGATCCAAGTACAGATAGCCGACGAAGCCGCTGCCCTCACCCTCATCGTTCCAGACACTGAAGATCTGGACGTCCTCATGCCAGACAATGTCACTACCCTTACCGGTGGGAGCCACCTTCTCCCGGTCCTCACCAGTGATCTCCACAAAGACGAGACCGAAAAGCTCTTCGAAGATCTTCAACATGCCCTCGATGGTGGTCTGAAGAGGGAAGTATTCGGCAATGAGCTGCTGGTCCAGAGAGTAGTCCTTCTCCAGCATAAGGCGATCATAGAATCTGTGATCCCACAGGTAGTAGTGACCATCGAACTTCTCTCCACGGGACTCCAGGTCGGACTTCTTGAACTCAAGGAGGCTCTTGATCTCCTTCTGTCCACCGGCCGTCAGACGGGACCGCAGGTCACCCAGGAAGGTGTTGACCGTCTCCGGGGTCTTGGCCATCTTGTCCTCAATGCGGAACGCCGCGTGGTTAGGGTAACCGAGCAGACGAGCGGCCTCATCACGCAGGATAATGGCCTCACGGAAAAGAGGCACGTTCTGGTTGCACTTGTTCTCGTTCTGGATCATGACCTGCTTACGGGTCTCGGGGTTCTTGGCGTACTTCATGGTCGGGAAGAGGTCGGGGTACTTGAAGGTCAGCCAGAGCTTGCCCTCGTGCTCACCCTCACCCTTCTTCAACCCAGCCAGGACATCCTCGGGAACACCGTCGAGCTCTTCGCGGGTGAACCAGAGTCCTTCGTTCTCCTCGTTCAAGTTCTTCTGGAACTCAATGCTAATCTGACTGAGACGCTTCTTGATCTCCTTGAACCGGTCACGCTTGGGTCCAGCCGGGAGACCCAAGCCATTGCGGATGAAATCCTTGTGTTCCTTCTCCAACAGACGGCGAGACTCGGGGTCAAGAGACTCGTTCTTCTTAAGCACGGCGTCGACGAGCTGGAACACATCCTCGCGCATGGCAGCTTCAATGAAGAACTCATCCATCAGCTCCTCCGCCTTGGACGATGCATCCCGCAGCTCTTGTTGGGTGGACACGGCCTGGTAGAAGCCGAGAATGTGCGATTCGAGGGACATGACGTTCTCATCCTGGGCCAAGGGCTTCACGACAGCGTTGAATGTAGCCGTGTCGGGCTTGACGGTAGCCACGACGTCATCCTGAACTTTGCGGGAGGCTTCAATGAGTCGCTTGGCGTCATCGACAATGGATTGAGCAGTTGCGGTGAAGACGGGGGGAGCCTGAGGAGGGCGGCGGAGGTGTTCGGGGGCCATGCTGGCAGTTGTGAGGGATTTGCGAAGGTTTGTCAAAGCTGAATGGGAGGTTGAAGGAAGTCGAGAGCCGCGGAAATGGCCCAAGACCGAGGAAAGTCTGAAGGCGGGAGAGGAAAGGCGAAGCGGGGGAGCCACGGTGACGAGGAGAACGCCCACGAGAAGGACGAGGAAGGCGGGTAGATAAAAGGTGGAATGGAGAGGGGAGCGAATGGTGACGGTAGGAGGGGCACAGGTGGTGAAAGGCGGGGTGCTAAGCAAGCTACTGCAATGGAAGAAGCGGATCAATACGTGGCTCGACAGTGGACACTCTTGGGGGGGAGGAGCTGTTTGGTGATGCAGAAGTGCAGCTGAGCTGGTCCCGGCGGAGCCTGCAGTCTGGCCGATCATGTGTTTTCCCTCTCCTCCACCACTAACTGATTTCTCCCCCGTCATTCTCTTTCCTCTTTTTTTGACTCCACATTTCCTCCTGTCTGGTTCCCTATTCTTCTATCTTTCCATCGTGTACTCATGACGAAGCTATGGCCCTTTTGACAACCCGATCCACTCTACGTCTGCCGGGTCCAGGGTTTCTATGTCCACTTCTACAGATCCATTACGTAGCTACAAGAGCTTAAAGGTCCTACAGGCAACTGTTCATAAATATGTGATCACACTTTGGATATCTGGATTCTATGCAGAATTTCAACAATCGATGTTCCTCGTCACATCTCGTCGCTTTTTTTCAAATGAAATAGGTAAACCCGCGTCGACTCAAAACTCGCTCCGTCGACATAAAAAAGTAGGCCAACTCCATCAACGCCATACACACGAAAGAATGAACGCCCCGAGTGCTAATTAAAAGACGAAGGATCGTCGGAGTGGGAAACACAGCGTATTCGCAAATGGTACATCAGAATATAAGGCGAAAGGGTCATGGACATCGCGCCGCTTACGCAGCGTCGGCAGTGGGGATGGGCTCGGGGATCTTGGTGACCTGCTCACCAGCCCGAATCACCCGCTGGCCGGCATCGTCACGAACATAGCCGGCGCCCTCCTTCTGGGCCCGCTTCCAGATCTCAACCTCACAGCCACCGCGGATCACACCCACACGCATGGTCGAGAGAAGGTTATGGGCAGCGTTGGAGTGGTAGTACACACCACCGTTGAACATGGCAGTAGCGTCCTTGCCAATACCAGAGTTGATCATGGCCTTGCCACCAGGGTGGTCCTTGATGAAGTCGGTCACATCGTGAACAACACCGGCAATAGCAACGAGACCACGGCCGTTCTTAGCCTGCTCGACATAGTCGTCCCATTCCATAACGGGCAGCTGGTCGAGAGGGGTACCCCAGTCGAGACGCGAACGCTTCTGGTCAAGCTTCTTCTGGAGCTGCTGGACACGACCCTTCTCGATCTCGTTGGCACGGAACTTCTTCAGGTCGTAGGCCAGACCAAGCTGCTTCCAGGCCCAGATGCTCCACTTGGTCGGGTCGTACTGGTGCCACTCGATAGCGTTACGGTAGTCGGAGGGGAACTCGTGGTGGAAGTTGTGGTATCCCTCGCCGAGAGTGACAAGAGCAGTGATGACGTGGTCACGGGGAGAGTTGCGGTCGTCGAAAGGCTGGTCACCGAGCCAGTGGGCCAGAGAGTTGACGCAGAAAGTGGCCTGCTGGACGAAGAAGATACGCAGGATACCAGCGTAGACGAAACCACCCCACCAGTCACCCCAGCCAAGACCGGACACGAGCATGGGAACAATCAAACCCATGGTGAAAACGACCTTGAGGTAGTTGCGGTGCTGCCAGACGACAACAGGGTCTTCGTTGAGATCGGAGATATCGGTGCGGCCGATACGCTTGGGGTTCTGTTTCATGACCATCCATCCCAGGTGAGAGTAGAGCAGACCCTTGCGGACGGAGTAGGGGTCCTTGTCGGTATCGGTATAGCGGTGGTGAGCCCGGTGATCACGCGCCCACCAGCGGATGGAACCTTCGACGGCACCACCACCAACGGCGGCGAGCCAGATACGGAGAGGAAGACGAGCAGAGTAGGAGCAGTGAGCCCAGAGACGATGGTATCCTGGTGGCAAATTTTGTCAGCATGTCTTATCAGTGTTACCTTTCAATGGGGCAAACTAACCTGCGGTGATACCGAGACCAGTGAAGAAGTAATAGATGACGGCCCAGATAGCAGTCTTGACCTGCAAGGGCACCCAAAGGGCCTGGACACAGCCGTACACGGGGATACCGATGATGAGGAAGACGTTCAGCCAGTTGACATGCTTGTACCAGTTGCCGCGTGTCATGACAGTGTCGGCAATGTGGACCTTCTTGGGGTCAGCGGCGCGAGGCCGGGAGGCGTCTGCTGGCTTTGCAGACATGGTGATGTCCTTCGTGTGTATGTCGACCCCTGCAGTATGGTTCGGATGAGTAGGAGAAGGATGCGTGCGGGAGAGGGTGGGTTTAAAGGAAAGGGCCAGAGGCGAGCGATAAAAAAGAGACGGAGAAAAAGGGTGGGGAATGCAATCGAAAGGCCGAAGAAGTAAGCCGGCAAATCTGTGCCAGTGAAGGAGGGAAAATTCGGAGGCAGTTGAACTCTACCAGGGTCCACCGGCGGATGATGGTTGGGGAAAAGCAAGGCGGACAATCAATGATAATGATGCGACTATGAGGACACGCGCGTGGAATAAGTAAAGAAGGGTGGCCTGACGGCAAGCTCACTGGTAGATCAGTGAAGTAATCATAAGATCCCGAGGTCCCAAAGTGGTCGACGGGTTTCAACAGGCTCAAGGAAGGAGAGAGAAGAGGATCAATACTACTATCCAGGCACGTCTGGAAGGTGTCCGGATCGCAGAGTGTATCCGCGATGGCAAATGGCCGGAGTATCTCCAACCATACAGCGCCGCCTGTTCATCCAACTAAGCTTGTTGGGCCACTTCTGATTCGATGGTGCCGCCCGGCCAGAAACTGCCATTTTGGGTAAGGCCGGGAGTGGTCCACCAATCACGATGGTTCAACCATTCGTTGAATCCCCAACGTTTTTTGCCCCTTGATCCCTCTGTGTGGCTGGTGTCATGCCTCGGGTGGCTTGACCCGTGGCTCTCCATCCTGATTTGGATTTCGGGACGGTTTCTTTTTCCGCATCAAAGTATCGCCTGCACGGAGTGGCACAACTCCGTCTAATTTTCAGAGTTGAGCAATTGTCCCCATCTCTTTCAAAGCTGATCCTAATTCTGGAGCATTGAAACATTGAAGTCTTTGCTTATGCGGTGGCCACACTAACGCAATCTAGTGCTATAATCAGCATGTCTTGGATCACTCATTGGTCCACTCAGCTCAGACTTTTCCGTTGAAGGCAGCCCTATGAGTGGACATTATTGCCACCGGCCGAGTTTGAAACGCCAAATTCAGTTTTGGCATGACTGCGAGCCGCAAGCTTCTCGGCACAACCTCTTCCCGGGTGCTCCGTTGATGCTCTTCAAAGTCCGTAGAAAATCTGATGATCGTCGCCACATGATTCAGGCATGAATTCTCCCCCAACACTTTTACTTTCACATTATTTGACAACTGTACACCACGTGACACATGTGACATTCCTCGCCTTGACTGTTATCGCCTCAGGCAATCACATGATCCAAGCTTGGTTGGGACATGCCAACCCATCCAAGCAAGGCGTCCCACACACCGCAAGTCTTGAAATCATTCCCCAGACAAGGGATCAATTTCACTGGATCCCCACGTTATCAGATGGCCCCAGTGGCATTGAATCAAAGTTATGGACCGGGGCCATTACAGCTCCGTTGAACACGTCGTGCCACTTTCATCTGGTTGGGACAGATCTCGTCCATACCCTATGGTTTCAGCAAAATTTGAAATCATTTTTCACTAACCGCCAATAAAATTATCAATAATTGGGAAAGTCTCTGATTTGTCCAGCAGGTTGTTAAACTGCGCAATGCGTGAGATTTGGCTGTTGCTTTTCCTAGACTTGAGTCTGTAGATCCCTTGCGCTTCACTCGGTCCGGAGTATGGATAGACCGAGGTATTTATTTGAGACGGTGAGAGCAATATACTATTCCACAGCTCATTAGAACCACACCATAAGTATGGCGATCAATTAGTAGGCATTGATAATCAACATAGTTTATTGATAGTCATATAATGTTTAATTGATGTGGGTGTACTCCAGTTGGATATATGGACTAGTATGCAAAGACATCCCAAATAGTGAGGTAGATCACCGATCAATGGCAGCTTCAAACTGCTAGATTCAATCCCCTCGCCAGTGGCACATGACAGTACTCCGTAGGAGCAATGCTAATTCTGCTCAGGGGCCTTGAGGGGCAAAAATGTAGTGGCAGTGCATACCGGGTACATTTCGACCCCTACTACTTAGTTTTTCGACCAACATAAAAGGAATATATAATATACCATTTTCCATATAGTATACAACACCAACTACCAATACTTCGATCACTGAACGCCGCGTCTACTTATTAATACATATATGACTGCTAGTACTAGTCTTTATTCCATGATTATTTGACGCATAATAGTATTAATATACACTCACTACTCCATCCTCCCACGTCTATCAAGCTCAAGAGCAATGACCTAAAATCTGTTCGAATACTATACTTAGAAGCTGTACTATAATCTCACGGGCAGTCCAATAATATGGATATCGCACCAATGACTGAACACAATAATTATTAGTCTAGCATTGCATCACAGCTCTCCCGAAGATGACTGGTCGACTGTTCCAAGTCTACCTCTGCCTACACACTTACAAAAACAATGTCGCAGATAACTATAGAACCAGAAGCACTACATCCCATAGTCCAATCTACAGCTTCCAAGCCCTTCATCAACCTCACATCCCCATGACAAATCCCAAAACCATCAAAATATACACCCACCTTTTATCCAACCCCATTACTCACTCGACTTACTCTACACACCTCCCCTCCGAAATCACCCGCAACGTAGCATCAAAAGCCTCCCCTCTCCCGGCCCTTGCCGATCCGAGGTTGGCAGTGGCCAAAAATACGTGGTTCGGACTGACGGACCGGCTCCACTAGTAGCTCTAGCCCCTTTCGTTACCCCACGGCTACATAGAACTAGACAGTGCTCAGCCTCTTGCCGATCGGGGATCGTGTCGGAGAGTAATTATCGGCTCATAGTAAGGGTGTTAGTGGAGGTATTTGTCACTGAATATAGACTATTTAAGGTTGCGCTTGATAGTTGCGGAGTATGGGTATTTCCGTATGCCGGGGGTTTTATGCTGAGATGTGATGAGTGGAGGAGAGTATTATCTGGAGTTTGGGATTTATGTTTTGGGGGGAGTGGACTGGACATCGAGGTTTACTTTCTGATGGATGGGGTATATAATGCTGGATTTTCTTACAGCTAGAAAGTTATTGTGACAGACTCACTTCAACTTTTCGTTCGGCAACTCCAGGGGTGGGTGGATAGCTGGTTCTTTATGACTAGTGTATACCTATTTGGTCGATTCGGGATATGCCTTATTGAAATACTTCAACCTCATCATGATTTCTAGATATATGTGATTCAAATATTCATTCAGAACATAAGCATGACGTTCAATCTAGTTCTACATTCTTGGTGAAAGAAAGAAGGACATCTGTGGGAAAGGCATAACCGTTCGAACTTTGTTATTTTCCTTTAATTGATACTAATCATAGCGTCCACGTTGTATAAATACTATCTATTGACTGTTAAATCTGAATTTGCATCTGTGCATAATTTATAAACACGAGTCCAATTGAACCATTTTATTGACCATCGACCTTGATACTCCGGAAAATTGAACCAAACTAATATTGAGTGGTCATAATAATGTGTTTATCAAACTTTTATAATATATATATATATATATATATATATAATATCTCAACAAAGGCAATGAGAAAGTATGCTATTACCAACTAGTCAGCAACATGGAATTAGGACTTTAAGGGAAAACCGGATCCGACAATTATGTGACAGCTCTTAGCGAAAACGTCAGAATAGTTATAGCAACGGCCATGAACCTGCTCCACAGATTATGGAGTCTGATGTGTCAAAGAATGCCACCAGGCTAGCACTTACTACGAACTATCGAGCTAGCTGTATAGCGTGCATTCAGTGCATCGTGGCTTGTCCTAGAAGAGTCTAGGAGGCGGTTGAAAGCGTTCATATACAGTTATTAGCTACATTCATCGCAATCAGCCTCACATACTACTAGTAAGAGCTATTAGTCAAAACAAATAGTACACCTTGACAGCGATAGTAGAGTTACATTCATATAAAATATTATTTTTATAAGATCATGCAAGACACAAAAAGATGCGAAGGATTCAATCCTCCATTGTTTTAAAGCGAACGCAGATTCAACATTTCTTTCATTCCTACTGTGGAGACAAGATGAGAAGGGTTTGATGCTCGCATTATCTGAAGACACCAGCATTCAAATTTATCGTTCAATTCGTGTTTACATCCATACTATCTGGAATAATGCTCTTCACAGAACTACAGGTACAATTTAAACTACTGCTACGCTGTTAGTCACGGGCAGCAGTCAAGGTTACGATAAAGTTGGGCCTGATTGAATCTATGACTAATGGATTGCCGCATTGGGGTTGGTGTTCCCCGGACTGCAACCCGGCGAAAGAAGCATCGTCGGCCCTTTAATTCTCCCCCTTATGCACGTCTGCCTTTAGCTTGTGTCAGTTCGATCATCTCCCCCCCAGTCCTCCCACGTTCTGGATGAGTTCTACTCCGGCCTCATCGGGTTCGTCAGTGCAAGACCCATCGGCCACCGGCTATCAGGGGGGAGACGCAAGAGATGGATTTCGGCGGAACCCGATCTGGGGACTGATAAGCGGCCGGGGAGGTTACATGAGGGCAGCGTGTCAGCCGTCCGTTCTTATCGGAGGGCCCACAGTTGAAGCCTGGACGAGAACAGCGTAATCGCCAGAGGAACCAGTCATCGCTAGCGCTGCCCCGGTCTGCTGCAGGTTGCAGCTCGCTTGGAAATTAGCTCGCGTGTCTGCCACGCCGGTGCCCAGAGATAACCACTGCCTACCATTATTCGATTGATTCATCCATCACCTTCGCCACTGATAGCTGTATCATCCACGCCGGTCCGAGCTTCAATCATCCCGATTCATCTTCGAGCTCACGGAAGATGGTTCATGTATATAGACACCTCGCCCGTCGATGTTTGGAATGGTCTTAGTCTATTTCCCAGATCCAACTAGCCATTGCTAAGAACCGACCCCTCACTCCACTCGGACTACTTCATCTGGGTCCAGATTTTAACATCGAGATATCTTCCATTCGTCCGTAACTCATCGAGTTTCATCTGCACTCCCACATCAACATCTTTTACACATTAGACTGCCTCACATCATGGACGGTCCTGACCAGATAGGCCCGGACTACCGGCCTAAGCGGACTTGGAATGACGTCGGCCGCCGCTTTGTCAAAACCTTCACCACAAGGTTGGTCATGGGAGCTCGTTAAACCAGTCGATGTGCTAATATGTCGCAGAGAGGGTCTCATTGGAGACTATGATTACGCCTACTTGTTCACTCCGAATATCCCCTTTATCACAAAGAAACGAAGCTCTGCACCATTCTTCGGGCTCGAAGACAATGTACCTATCGTGTTGGCTATGCTGCTTGGACTACAACATGCACTGGCAATGCTGGGTGGCAGTGAGTTAGATCCTCTCTGAATCCTGACTAGTGCTGACTCGTCAGTTATCTCACCTCCTATCTTGATCGGAGGCACATCTGGTGCCAACTTCGGAACAGAAGACTACCAATACCTCGTCTCAACGTCCCTCATCGCTTCCGGTATCTTGTCCGCCATTCAGATGTTCCGTTTTCACATCTACGGAACGAAATACTACATTGGTACTGGCTTGACTTCAGTGGTGGGAATTTCCTTTGCTACAATCACCGTCGCAACTGGTGGTTTTGAACAAATGTACTCCAGTGGATACTGCCCGACCGCTGAGGATGGAACCAAGCTGCCCTGCCCAAAAGGTTATGGCGCTCTACTGGGAACATCGTGCTTGTGTGCGCTTCTCGAGATTGGCCTTTCCTTCATGAGCCCTAAAATTCTGAGACGTGTCTTTCCTCCTCTCGTCACTGGTCCCACTGTTCTCCTGATTGGAGCCAGTCTTATCGAATCCGCTTTCCAGGACTGGGCAGGTGGCTCTGGGACCTGCTCTGAGAATCCCGGAAACGGTGCCTTGTGTCCTAGCGCGGACGCACCGCATGCTCTGCCTTGGGGAAGTGCGGAGTTTATCGGTCTCGGATTTCTGGTATATGTCTCGATCATTCTCTGTGAGCGGTTTGGAGCGCCTATCATGCGATCTTGCTCGGTTGTGGTGGGATTGTTGGTGGGATGTATCGTGGCGGCTGCCTGCGGATACTTTGAACGATCGGGCATCGACGCTGCGCCGGTGGCCTCCTTTATCTGGGTGAAGACATTCCCGCTGACCATCTACCCGCCTATGATCCTTCCACTGCTGGCAGTGTACATTGTGGTCATGATGGAATCGATTGGTGACATTACCGCTACTTGCGATGTATCCCAGGTCGAAGTTGAAGGGCCCACATTCGATTCGCGTATTCAGGGTGGTGTTCTGGGTAACGGTCTCACCAGTGTGCTGGCAGGCCTCATGACCATGACGCCGATGTCGGTGTTTGCCCAGAACAACGGTGTCATCGCGCTGACCAAGTGCGCCAACCGCACAGCTGGTTACTGCTGCTGCTTCTTCCTGATCATTATGGGAATTTTCGCCAAATTTGCCGCGGCACTGGTTGCCATTCCTGATAGTGTTCTTGGTGGCATGACGACGTTCCTCTTCTCCTCTGTGGCGATTTCCGGTGTTCGCATTATCACCAATGTTCCATTCACTCGTCGCAACCGATTCATCCTGACCGCTTCGTTTGCAGTTGGTATGGGCGCCACCCTGGTATCCGACTGGTTCGACTACGTCTTTACCTACAGCGGTAACAACCGTGGCTTGACAGGATTGCTGGATGCTATTGATCTGGTGATGGAGAATGGGTTCGCCATCACCGCTCTGATCGGGCTGATCCTCAACCTGATCCTTCCGGAGGACCCAGAGGAGGAGGCGGCGATTCTGGAGGCCCGGGGTGATTACCGACGAAGCGAGGAGGTGATGACATCGAGGGAGAGCACGCAGTACACGAAGGGCGAGCCCTCGAGTGTTTAATCTTGTTTCATATTCTGTTTGATTTGATTGGCGATATGGTTTTATTTGGATACCCTGACCTAGATGGTCATTTGAATTAACACGACAATTTTATTATCGAGATTTCCGTACCTAGTAGAAGCGACGCGAATGGCTAAGCAGTAGTGCTATTTCCATCTACCCGAGTCCCGAGATTCTATTTCCTGCCGGACTTTCTTCAGTGTCCACGTGGTATTCAAATTGCAGCACTGCATTCCCGCTCAACATGATTGGTGCTTGCTTGCTTTCCAGCCTGGATGCTGGTCAATGAGCAGACACAAACTTGGCCGAATCTGGACAGGAAGTTTAGGCAAAACAAATAAGAAACAATAATACACACTGTCTTCCCCACCCATCGACCGGAATCATTGCGATTAAGTGGCCAGACCGAGTACAAATAGATACTCCGACCCCCTCCTGTCTTTGGGTGATCTCACGCGCGATATTGTTCCTGCGCCTGCCGATCATCACAAGGCACATTGATCATGGGTGCCCTGCATTCCTCTGCGTGGATTGTGGCGCGCACCCACCCGAAGTCATCTCAAGCAACATAACGTCTACGTCCCATTCATTTTTCTCAAAAGAGACAGGATGTCTTGACCTTGAACCTGCTGTCAACCTCTGCCGGCAATATGGCTATACTCACGAAAAGCTCAACCGCCCAGAGATGGAAATCTTCAAGCCAGTTCATCATCGCCACCGCGTGCCTGGCCATGTTTACTGGTACGAACACACACACATACCTGTCTACTCCTGCCGACAACTGTCTCACATCCACTAACCAAGCCAGTGAACAGAATCGCTTCTAGCCGGTTTCCCCGTACCTATGCTCCCGTATATGCTAGAAGAGCGCCTTCACAACGATCCCTCCCAAACAACTGTTACCACCAACAGCCTGCTCAGTCTACACGGCCTGGCGTCAATTCTCGCTGCCCCCTCTTGTGCGACTTTATTCGATACAATCTCGAACCAGAAGATTCCGCTCTATTTGGCACTAGTGCTTTGCCTAGCTGGAACTGCGCTGTTCGCAATCACCACCACATGTACTAGTCACCCTAGCCATATATACTTCCTGCTCTGAATGCTAATAGTGTTGATGATCCAGCATGGGTGCTATACTTGGGCAGGATTCTACAGGCAGTAGCTGCCTCGGCTGCATGGCTCGCGTGCACGGCCATGCTCACCGAGGTCGCGGGTAGTGCACGAGCTGGGGCAATGTTGGGACTGAGCATGTCTTTTTCAACGTTGGGAACGGTCAGCGGACCGATGTTTGGGGGCGTTCTATTAGGCTGGCTCGGATACTGGCCAGCTTGGTCCCTGCCGATGGCTCTGCTGATCCTCGACATGATCGCACGCTTCGTTATGATTCAGCCAGACCATCTTCTACTTGATTCACAGTCTTCGATCGGACTTGCCAACCACAGCAAGATAGGTCAAAATGTCCCCGAAGCGTCCCCCTTCCTACCCCAATCACCTTCATTTGACCCAGATACCACTACGAAAACGGAGCCGGACAGCACTGCAACCGCAGAATATCGCAACTACTACACCGTAATGCTCCAAGACGCAGGAATGTGGGCAGCCGTTCTGAACACCATGTCCCAAGCTGCACTCCGGGCAGCATTCAACGCCACCCTACCCGTGTATCTTCGAGATACATTTGGCTGGGGCCCATCGTCAGTCGGGGCGATTTTCTTTGCCCTCCAAGTCCCTATCATCTTTTTGCCTCCCCTATTTGGCCACCTCCGAGATCGCGTCGGTACACGATACCCAACGGCAGTCGGTTGGGCTCTGCTCTGCCCGTTGATGTGTTACTTAGGCGTACCTGGCAGGGACATTTCCCAGGCTAGTGGCAGCCGGACAGATGCTGAAGTCGCTTTTATTGTATGTATATGTGGTATCGGGATTGTGATGTCGTCGGTTCAAGGTGCTGGGTCGTTTCATATGAGGTGTAAGTCATATAATCTTGAAGTATCTAGCTAACAAGCGCGGAACATAATTCACAGGTTAGATTCTGACGATGAGTAGTCCTCCTAGAAGAAGTTGAAAAAGATGCCCCCACATTGTTCGGCCCTAATGGTGGGCGCGCGAGGTGCTTCGCGCTGGTGTCTATCTCGTTTAATGTCGGTTTGATGCTGGGCCCGGTCGTCACTGGGTTCCTGTTTGAGAGTGCAGGATACTATTATATGAACATTGCTCTGGGTAGGTCCTGCCTTCAAGATGTTCTCTATATGCGTAAGGACTAACAGTGTGTATTTTAGGTGCTGCCTGTATGGGAGTGGCGGTGGTGACGTTTATGTTCTGTTGATTGAGATGTGCCTAGTACTGTATTTGGGCGGGAATATCAATTAGTAGAGCGTATGCCAACTGTGTTTGCCTTTGTTATGATATGCACGTCCAGAACAATATGAAAGTAGATAAGGTTCGAGCAGAACACTACTAATACAACTATAGAAGAATAGTTACGACATAACGGAGATGATAGTCAATGATAGTCCTAGAATACTAACATAGATTGCTCAATTGTCTCTGATAATTGATAGGATTATTGGCCCTTAGCATAAATTCTACAGCAATAACAGTAAGCCCCATCCGCAGCATCAAAGCGATAAAAGAAGGACAAAGGGAATGTCTCTAACAGCAGGAACACACTATACAACATCTTGATTATAGGACACGTCCATACTAGTAAGTAAAAGCACAGCGAAAAAGGAGAGCCGTCAGCTTAACCGTACTTATCCAGTGGTTCAGGATGAAACTGATGGGGTCGACTGCTCTGAGACCAACAGTTACTTTGCACTGCGCATCAACCCGTAGTCCTTGAGAGGGATCATCGTGGCTCCTCTGAAACAAAGGTGCTATAACCCGACGTGAGTATACGAGGCCCAAGCCAGCGGCTCATAGGCATACTTCTTCCTGATCCGCAGTGTTGCATCATGGACAGCTTCCGCTACTGCGCGATTAGGGTCGATAGCAGTTGCGCGTCTTCCAACGTAAGCATCATAGAAAAAGGCTGCCATATCAACAGAGATCTGGTCATCGGCAGGCCAAATGGATCCAATAATGTGCGAAAACCCAGCAATGAGAAAGCCACTTGTTATATGAAGACCCTCATTCATCAAGTTTCTATCACGTATCTCCGCGGTAGAACACGCAGATAAATAGGCAATCCACGCGCGCGACATAGCTTGAGTTTCTAAGAGCTTGGAAACCGTCAGTTTATCAACCACTTTCCCGGACTCAGCGGTATTCTTTGTCAGAAGTAGGTGACTTTTCAAAGGATCATGCGGATCCGAGTATCCATGACAGGCAAAGTGTACCAGCTCGGCGTGCTGAAGCTGGTTCAGTACTTCTTCGCTGGAAGGCTCCACCATATGTCGTACATTCATGGCCTGGTTTACCACCTCAGTGACTCTTTCTGCTTCTTGCCGAACACCGCTCAGCATTCCATGACCGGGAGTATCGGGCATCGTGGCGATGAGGAGCGAGAGCTTGTCCGCCGCGGCGACTCGGTGCATTGCCTGCGTCGCTCGTTCACGGGCATTTCGGAGCGCTTTAACAGTAGGTATATATGAGGATATAACACGAGAGAGGCAGTTCTCATTTTCATCAGGCGGGTCACCTCTGTAATCTCCAGCAGCATGGAATGGCAGCCCGCTGGCCAAGCCCGCTCCGATCCACCATACCCGAGTTTTCTGTCCACTAGTTGTAATTTTTTGATGGAAAGCGAGGTTATCCAAAATATGCTTCACGCATGTATACCACAACCAAGCGAGCATATCCCTGTAGTCAAAGCCTTCCTGCGATATGTCATTCTCCAGGTCCCTGCTACTGGAATACGCCCCGCCGTTCCTCATCAGGTAATTTCGAAATGCGGGCACTTGTTCCCGCTTCATATCATTCAGACGCAAGCAGATGGGTCCGGAGGGAACGATCACAATGGCATCAGAGGCGAAGTTCGATATGTTGACGATGATAACCGGCCCTTCAATGGAGCATTGAGATATATCCTCCCAAGTCATTGACTGCAGAAAGTTCTCGAAGCCCGCCATCTCGCGAATACGCAGCTCGCAATGCCGCAACTTTTGGAAGGCATCCCGGCGCTCGTTTGGTGACTGTCGTTTCGTTTCATCAATACCTATGCGGTGGAAGGCTCGGTTACGATGCGTCTCGTACTCTCGCGCGAGATCAGGATTAGCCTGCTGCAGAGCCGTTAGGTCACTCTGGCTGTCGAACAAGTCACCCATCATGACACCTCTGCCTTGTTCCAGCTTCAGCAATGCGTCGAAAGCTTTCATTGCACTTATGTACGCAGTGCAAACGTTAGTCGTAAAGCTGGAGATCAATCGGAGGCTCTCAATTTTGTCGTCTTGCTCCAAATCGCGGCCACTGACTTTAGGCAGTAGTGGAAAGATGGCATCTGCAGTATCACATGCCCATTCCCACTCTCCCAATTTAATAGCACAGTAAACAATCAAATCGGCACACTGAACGCGGCGGATGGGCAGATTTTCTTCCGCGGCGCATGGCTGTAGCGCATATTGTAATGCCTGCATCCACGCTGCATTCTCTTGGGTGTGGATGGACTTTCTCACCCACGCTTTTGCTAAGTTTTGAAGCGTCAAATTCATACCACGTGAATGTTGCCCAGGAATGCGTAATATATCCTCCGACAATGAGATAGAACTTTCAAGGTCAGTGAGTTTGCCAGTGTCGGAGTACGACTTTTGGTACAAAAGTACGCGTGAACCCAGAATCTTAACCTTTGCCTGACTGCTTAATCGATCAAATAGATGTGGGTCGATGTTATCGAACAAGTTGATAAGGTTCCCATATAGAGCATCAAGATGCTTAGGTGCCTCAAATCCGGTCACGATGGTGCACAACATGGATATTAAGTCTGATTGTATTTCGCTGACCGGTGGAGCTGCACGGTAAGCCTTGATAATCTCCATTGTAGCTTCCAGGGCGTCCTCAAGTCTTTTTGTTCGCTTCCACCGTTGTATCAGGTAGTAAGACAATTCCCTTCTCCCCTTAGCGGCTTCATGGTGGACGAGGTCATCTGGTAAACCGTCGTATAACTTTCTCGACTGCGAAATAGCGAGGTCGAGATCCCTTGTATTTCCGGTCTGTTCACTGCGTTGAGCATGTAGTAATTGGATGTACATCTGCACGAATGGTCTCGTGAGATCTGTAAGAGACCCAGTGGTAACGGTTTGATTAAGAAGCTTAATGGTCTCATCCGATGCTTCTCCGTTATTCATCCCCTCATCGCTATAATTTAGACATTCATGACGAAGTAAGTTCCCCATAACAACGCAATCCGGGTTTTCTGGCCCTAAGGTAGCTAGAATACTCTGCATTTTGTGAAGATCTTCGTAGCCTGTGCGGTGATGTCGTAATCCGTAAAGTATAGCAAGAAGCGTCATTGCATACTGTTGTCCAGGCGAGTCATCTTCGAGTGCCGTAGCTATCTCCAGCTGAGTAATGGCGAGTTGAAGACCTTGATCATCGCTGGTAACATTGTCCTTCAATACAAGACCCGAGGCAAGGAGGCTTCGATGCCCAGGGTTCTCTGGCTCGAGCATGACAGCTTCTTGGTAATATGCCAATGCTTTGTCAATATCTTCCATTCTCCTAAATTGCAAAAAGAGGAAGGTAAAGTGGCGTGCGGTCCTGGCAAGATGGACGGCTCTACCAGGGTCGTCAACAGGAATATTACAAAGATCCTTCTCTAGCATATCGGTGAAACAGTCGATGGAGACCACGACCTTTTTGTCACCTCCACTAGCCATCTCAGATTCCGGTAGAGAACTTCCTTGAGAAAATTCCTCTTGCATGCTGTCTTGTGTGGATGGTGGAGACTCAACAGCAGAGGCATGAGTAGCGTCGCCAAGGTCAGAGTGGCGAAGCGCACCCTCTGATGCATTCTGACTAACGTCATCTCCTGGAGGCGTCTTCGAGCTTCCAGAGGAAGTCTGCCCTTGCTGTTGTGAGATCTGTGTTGTATGCGTTGCCTACCATGCTCTTGGATTAATATAAAGAATTCAATGCATGTTTTGAGTATAGTGGGCTAACCTTAGTAGATATCGAAAATTGAATCTCCTTCACGACATTGATCCACCCCGGATACTATTCCCACATCCTAGTTTGTTAGACACCTGTGCCTCTAAGACAAACAGCAGCCTCAAGAAGATCACACCTGTGCTCTTGCCCACACTACGACCCGATCACCCGGATCAAATAAACGAAAGAGGCTGTTGTTGATTGCGTTATCCTCGCGGTGTGGGCAGATAACCGACATTCGTACCCAATTTTGCTGAATGCTATTCTCAGCAATCCTCATGCTGATTAGCGAGTTTGGTGCTGCTAGTTCTTTCGGAAGATTCTTGAAGTATAATCCCCGCTGGTTCACCAGTGTTTCGAAGTCCTCTGGGCGCGACATGACATAACCAGGACGTGACAGGTCGTCCAAATTGGGATTGGTAGTGCCTCCGCACCACGGGGCCAGGATAGATATCGCGAACCATGACCAGTTTCCGTCCTTGGGGTTGCTGCACCAGCCCTGGTCGTGGCTTGTGATATCGAACTTTAAGGTAGAGATGTCGCGTGGAAGTGGCGAGGAAATGAGGTATAACGCGGTGTGGTTATGGGTGGGAGGCACCGAACCGTTATTTTGAGGAAGGACGACGAGTTCTGCTCTTTCCCCATAGACCTGGAAATTCTCACCGGCTTCAGAATTTGAAGTCATTTTTGTCACGAAGTGTATTGTGATCATAAGAGGTTGGTTTTCATAGTGGTGCTAGAGAGAGAAGTAGCTTTTATAGCAACAAACAAGGCTTGCAAGGCTGTTGCCTAAAACTCTTTCGAGTTGATGAGAAAGATAACAGATGGTTCAGCTGATACCTGAAAACTTATCTGACTGGTGAAATAATCGCCCAGTCCAAATAAGCCCTGTTCCCTTGGTGGACCGCTCTGCATTGCCACGTACACCCCCTGCAAGTTTGCTTATGTTCTTCCTATCGCAAAGCCGATTCTGCATGTTTGCTTATTGTCTCCTTATCGAATAAGTTCAGCCCGCATGACTCAGATATCATTTTAGAATTATCTTCTGTTGGATTAAATATCTCCCCATTCCTAGTCTGACTAGACAAGATATATTGTTTTTGGTCTAACAGTTAGTGCGCCGACATCTTCTGAGTATCCCCGTTCAGATCGGAGCCTTAAAAGTGCTTCAGCCAGGGTATCGCGGGTCAGCCGGTGCACCTCGAATCTAGCCTAAACAAATGGCATCAATCAAGCGAGCTCTTCTGATTGCTAGCCCCTGGGGAGATCTCCAGGGGACTTTTACCGACGCCGATCGCATGCGCTCTGTGTTGATAGCGTATGGTTTCCACATTACTGAATGCCGAGGGCCTCAAGCAACGCGCAGTGGTATTATAACCGCCTGGAAGAACTTAGTCTTGTCCAGTGCACCAGACGACGTGGTAGTTGTCTATTACTCTGGTCACGGTGGCATTGTGGAATCTCCAGCTGCAGTGGACAATGGCTACCGGGCCTGGCGTTACCAGTTTCTCGTACCAGTGGACTTCGAAGACACTCGTGGCGCAGATTTCAAAGGAATTTTAGATATTGAGATCTCGTCCCTGCTTCATTCCGTCACCGAGAAGACCCACAACGTCACTACTATCCTTGACTGCTGTTACTCAGGAAGACTGGTTCGAGCCCCGGGTCTTGGCGATACGAGCAGAGCCAGACGTGTTCCCATGGTGCTTTATGACGATGTTACAGCTTTTATCAACCGCTACGGAGAGCTTGCTGTCCCAGAGAACCAGACAGTGGCCGAGGACAACCCCTATGCCGTTCGCCTCGCCGCTGCTGCTGCATCGGAAATAGCTTGGGAAGTTCGCGGCAGTGATGGGTTATGGATGGGATCTTTTACCTTTGCGCTCGCCCAAGTTCTTCAGGAATCACAAAGCCTTCGGCAGTCATGGCGAACCAGCATTCTAAGAGTTCGGGAGCTAGTTCAGGCGCAGTTTCCCTCCCAGCATCCTCAGGTTGAGGGCCCCCATACTCGGATTCCCTTCTCACTCACTGAGGTTGGTTCCGATGCCATTCATCTCAAGATCGAGGCTGGACAACCGGTGCTCCAGGCTGGTCGTGTGGCTCATGTGTCAGGAGGGGACGTGTATGCGGTAAAATGTCTTCAAAGTGAACGGCCCTCGACGCAAACCCAGATTGCTGTATGTGAGATCATCAGTGTACAAGCCTTCCAAGCTCTAGGGCGATTGGATTATACAGTCGATGCTCCGAGACAAGAGATTCCGCTTGAAGGGGCACTTGCATTCTTGCAGCAGAGCGCTCGCTACCGGTGGCCGATATCAGTGCCTCCATCCCTGTTGGGTTTACTTTGCGATAAGGTTCAACAATCACAATTCATTCGACTTCCCGGTGAAAACGAACCGGGGGCTGTCCTACTCTCGCTATTTCACAGAGACAATTTCGTCGGCATCAAGTCCCAAAGTGGAATAGATCTCACAACTCGCTATATGAATCCGGAGAGCTCTAAACAGTTAGACTATGCATGTCAAGCAGTTGTAGTTGACGCGGATCGTTTGGCTTGTGCTCCGAATATTCTTACTGTACGCAATGAAACAGACGAGTGGTTTCGCCATCGAGTTGACGTGAAAGTCGGGCTAGTGGAAGACCACCAGCCTGAAACGACCTTTGCCGGAGCAGGATGTGACCAATTGTACGAGGGCCAGCGAATCTACATAAAGCTTCAGAATGACAGCACCAGTACTACAGCTTATGTGAATATACTTCACATCAATGTTCAAGGGAAAATATCCTTAATATCGATGTCTTGTTCGGAGGGAATTGAGCTTCCTCCTGGGCGCTCTCACTGGATTCGGAAAACGAAGTGGGGTGTTCTCGAGGGTCTCCAAATCTCCTGGCCAGCTGATGTGCCTCGTGATAGGCCGGTTGATGAGCATCTTCTTTTCTTTGTGACTAATTTGCCTGTTGATCTGCGCCCACTTACCAGTCTCCACTACACTCCTCAACGCACTGCACACTCGAGATTAGTACGGAGATTGTATCAACTATGTTGTGGAGGGCAGAGAGAGCTTATCGATAACGACGAGTCCAATCAAACAGTCTACGACATTATACATTTCCCTCTGACTGTGATCGCACACGAGGATTCACAGGCTATGCGAGCCACTCGCCTGAGAGGGCTGCTTGACTCGTCTTACAATGACAGTCACTCTCCCCATAAACCGATATTTCCTTCGATGTTCAGTGAGACCCAGGATCTCCCTGACCTACCTCCACACCTCAATCCAGAGACAAGAGTGAGCAGCTTCCACCTGCATGCCTATCTCCTTTCTAACAAGCAACTTGCCAGGGTCTCGTAGGCCAGGCTCTCCGGTCAATCCAGGGAATACCCGCTTGTGTCTGGGTAGTCAACGAGCACACTGAGGCCATCACCGTTGTGGTCTCTCAATACCGGCCATCCCGCCTATGGACTGATGCTGGTCTAAATGCCTCGACTACAGGGGTCGGTTTTGACCTGTCTACTACTGTAAGCCGTCTTCCATCGCGTCTTTCCTCTCAACCTATTTTCCCAAGGCTTATTAGTATTTTCCCTATTTGACCAGACATTTACGCCTCCTGCGACGCGGAAAACGCTTGCCCCCGCAGCACCAGCCCCGAAGCGATCCATGGCTACGTTCCCGCTGTGGACTCGGCGCGACGGATTCGGGGTTATCACCGTGTTTGTTGGTTCGACGCAGACGCTATATATTGAAAATGACCGTATCCCAATCGGAGCCACGGCCTACTTTCGAAATGAGCCTGATTTGCATATCAAGGAGTATGGTAGTGACTGATGGGGATGTGGTCAGTGGTGGGATGTGTGTAAATAGACGTCTGTAATTGAGTGATGCATGTTTGGAAACTTCTTCAACTTACTACTAGGCTTGACAGAACTACATCTTACTCGCACCAGTCTTAGTCTCGAGGGCTGACAGCGATCATGCTTATACCTCAAACCCCCGGTTCCAACCACACCTCAAAACCCTCCTCAACGTTATCCAGCATTACTTACTTATTTTTATTGATACTACCTGTCAATATATTATGCCGTTCCTACTCATCTACCACATACGACCACAGGGTGTGGAAAATAGGGCTTCCCGTCCGCTCAGCCGTACTCAAGCCACACGCCGGAAGGTTAGTAGTTGGGTGGGTGACCACCAGCGAATCCCTTCTGTTGTATGTAAATTTTCTTTTTATTTTTTTCGTTGTTACCACGACTGCTAAGACCTTACAATTTTCACTTCTTCCCTGCTTCGTACATCCGCCAGTTTAATTCTCTAAATTGTGGTGGATTGGCAGAGGTATGGAAAATGTTAAATGGTATACTTTAAATGTATCCTAGTATCCGGGTGGGAGTAGCAATTAGTCGACCACACATCGCAAGCTGTATTTGCCGTTATGATATTACACAGCGCTAGAATAAGACATTGATTTGATTTTCTATGTAGCTCGCAGGGCGTTTTAGTGCTCGTTGAGTAGAGCTGAGCATACCCTGAGCATAGGGGCCAGGAAATAATTCCTGCTAGTTCTCTGTCGTGGCGGTGACGGAACGACGGTTAACCGATGGGAAAGTCATGAATGAGGTTTCAGGTCTCTGAAAGATTTTCAAGTCTTCGGGTTATATCTAGAAGTATATTATGCTGAGCCTCAATAGGCATAGTTAGGCTCAAGAAATGATATAGCAGACTAATGAAGTTGCCAATGTGGTGTTCAGGCAACTACAACTAACGGATTTTAGATAATAAACCTGGGGTACATGATCATCATGATCATCACAATCTCACCGGATAATCGAGTCCTCACTCAGTCCGACGCTTCTTTCAATCTGTGCAACAGCCTCTCTATCCTCTCATCATCCCAGTCCTCCGAGAAGGTCCTACAATCCGAAATATCTTCATCCCTCGCCAAATAACCCATGTCCACGGGGGTATTGGCTCCGTCATCCTGAGACGTCACATTTGCCAGGGCTCCCCGGTCGAGGAGAGCTTCAATTGTTTCCCAGTTGCCACTGTCCGCTGCCCAATGCAGGGGCGTGCGACCGTTGTCGGCTGTGGTGTTGATGTCTGCACCAGCTTCGAGTAAAATCCCAAGATTCTCCGGGGTGCCCCTCGATGCAGCCGAACGGATTGGTAGACTGCCGTCCAAGAGCCTTGTATTCATGTCCGCACCGTGTTTATGGAGAAGTGACCTGAGTCCGTCTGACGTGCGACAGGCAGCCGCAGCATGCAAAGCACTGAAGCCTTCAGAGTCCTGATCATCTAATTTTGAACCTGCTTTCAAGAGCGAGTCGATGATTTCGGTGTTACCATTCTCTGCTGCAATGAGGAGGGGAAATGATGGCTTTCCTTCCTCCACGATTGTGCCTCTTTGGTCTGGATCGGCACCTCTATCTAGCAGTGTGCTAATAAGTTCAGTATTTTGATCTCTTACCGCGTACAAAAAAGGTGTGCCGACGGTGTCGGGTGAACTCGGTGTGACCATCGCGCCATATCGCATCAGGAGTTCAGCCATATCTCGATTGTTTGCCTTGACTGCTAGTGTCAGTGCCGTTTCACATATTGGTTCAGGTGGCCAGCGGCGATGATTCTCATATAAACGGTATGATCCAGTGAAACGGCGCTCGTCGACTGCCTGGGGGTAGGCATTAACATCAGCTCCACGATGGATCAACAGCTCCACAATGAGTGGCCGAGTGGCGGCAACAGCATCAAGCAGAGGTGGGGTGTCTTCAGGCCCAGGGTTGAGCTGATCCTGCAATCCGTTGTCGAGTAAGTATGTCACGATAGAGATTGAACCACCCCATGCGGCCGCTCCCAATATGGATGTCTCATCATCGGGCTCTTGGCGATGAATATCTGCTCCTTTATCGATAAGAAACTGGAAAGCCCGAAGATCGGCGCCCCGAACAGCATCTCGTAAGCTTCGGTGCGTATCGGCTCCGTTCTGCAGGAGGAGATCAACAAGATCTTTTCTCTTCTGAGATAGCGCGCTTTGTAGAGACCGGTGGGAATCCACTCTTGCGCCTGCATTGATCAAGACCTGGGCGAGTTCGAGGCTCCCCACGTCCACTGCAGCTCTCAAGGGCGTCGAAAAGCCTGACTCCAGGTTTGGATCTGCTCCGCGAGATAGCAGCTCATGCACAATCGCAGTATGACCGCCTTTTATCGCCGACTGGAGAGCTATTGGGTGATCCGAGACTTGCGCGTGGCTATTGACGTTGACACCCTCGTCTAGATACTGTCGCACGAGCCTCTCGTCACCCGCACGAGCTGCGTACCTCAATGCTTCGTCTGGTGTAATACCATAGGCTATCAGCTCGCGCAATATGTCGATGTGGCCGCCAGCCGCGGCCTGATACTGGGCGGCGGTGATGCCACATTGGACGGGCCTAATGACTGCCGTGGTTCTGTGCTTCATGCTCCTTGCATTTGTGATGCGCTCGCACCTTAGCAATATCTTCACAATATCAAGACGACCACTACCAACTGCTGTCACTAGAGCGGATGCAGGGTGTCCTTTCATGTCGTGGTAGTCCTCAGCTCCGTAATTGAGCAGAATCTCACAGACAGGTAGATGACCTCTCGCGACAGCGAGAAATAGAGGATCCGACCTTTGGCCGCCAAAAGTCCGTGGACTCGGGAAGTTGACATTGGCACCAGCTTCTAGCAGCGTGATGGCGACATCTGAATGACCTTGAGCAGCTGCTGCACCAAGTGCCGTACTTAGCGCACCCCCTTTTGCATTGACTTCGGCCTTTGCGTCTACCAGTAACTGGACTATTTCCAGGTGGCCCATGAATGCGGCTGCTTGTAATGGACGGTGGTAAAAGCCGCCGGAGACATTTGGCGACGCACCCTTGTTGAGAATTGCTTTTACCACTCGTGTCAGACCACAGTAGGAAGAGTTATATAATGCTTTATAGTCATTGGTGTCGCTCGGTTCATCCCGCAGCCACGGTCGGTCAACCTTTGCCACTTTGCTCCATAGCCCAAAATAAGGCCCATTCTCGTCAAAGAGATCTAGTAAAATAGATTCTAGTTTGAGGTATTGCCAAGCGCCTTGAGAACGATCTTTATGTTCATTCCAATAGTGCCCTGCATAGCATGCCAGCGGATGATAAGTCCAGGAGTCGACGGCAGCAGACTGAACCGCATGGTGAAAGTACGCAACGCTACAGTTAGCCAGAACCGCATGGGTCCATCTCGTATCCATAAAAATGTCGGAGCACGAGCCTCCCAAGATTGCGTCAGAAGCGAGAAACTCTCGAACGGTGAAATGGGCTAGCTTGGCATATACACACTGGGTGCCACTCGTTTCGTCCCCAAGGCAGTAAGTCGAGACAAGACTGGAGCAGGAATCAATGAAGCTTTCTGGGTCGAGGGGCTCTAACTTTTCGTCATAGAAAGGAATGTCTCCATTATCGACATTGATAGCTATGGCGCTTGTGATCTCATGTAGAGATAGCTGCAAATGCGTCAGAGCGGGAATGATTCTTGATTTCCTAACGTGATGACTACTCACTGGCCGAAGAGCAAAGGCTACCCAGCGTAGAAGGTTCTTCACGGCAATGCGGTTGCTCTCATCAATCTTGCTGATTGTCGTGGTGTAGTGCTCCTCTAATGACTTTGGTAGGTCTCTGAGAGCTTTGTGTACCGCCTGTGGTGTCGCACACCGTCGCAGTGTCTGCAGTTGGCAGTCCATCCAACGAAATCTGCAAAAGGTGTCAGCCACTCAACAGTTCTGTAGGTCAAGGCTAAATACGCACGAGCCATTGGCTTGGGCCAGGAGGCTCTCTTCAATCTTCTTCTTCAACGATATTGGCCACCGGGCAAGTTTGCCCTGATACGAGAACTGGTGTCGTAGTGCTTTCTGCATATCAACAATCACTGTTGATTCATCAATTGTAGCGGTGGAGGTTTTGAGGCGTTCGAAAGCGTGTCGAAGTTGCTCCAAGTTTCGGCTGAACACAATTAAATGCTGTTGTCCTTTTGTCTGTTCCATCATCTCCTTAACGAAATTCGCAAGCTCGGGAACTCCATTCTGGAGGTATTCTTCGCATTCATCGAGACCATCGAGAACAATGTAATTATGCTCGAACTGCAATAAGAGGTCATTCAGTAACCTCTTCCATGAAACTGAATGCTGTTCGTCGGATGGGCTGTTATGATTTCTCCACGGCCTAGGGAGATAGCGAGGAATGGTTGCTCCTTGATGAATCAGCTGCCTGACGAAGGATCCATACACGCGGTTGATGTCGACTCCTCTTTCTTCCGATGCATCCATGAAGAAATAGCATAGGCTGCTACTTTGCTCCCCACCACAGTGGTCTTGAAGATCCTTAATGATCCTCGAACTGCTAGTTGTCAGACCATCATGATTCAAATGGGCGCAGAGACATTCGTCGACTGGATCCGATAGGGAGCACACATACCATAGGACGGTTTTACCACATCCAGCTGGAGTAGGACCATGAGTGATCGGTTAATCTCAGTACTGAGGGAGCCACTTACCAGCCCCCTTAATCCACAAGAAATTGTTGCGGCTAATCTTCCATTTCATGTATTGCTCCATGTTCAATAGCCAGTCACCAGTAGCTGGAGCACACTTTTGGTACTCTTCTTCTTGCTTGGCTGATTGACTGCGTCCGCCCAGCTGCTTGAGAAGCTCAGCTACTTTACGGCCTAAGACTATTATTAGCGGTCTTATTGACTCTGAACTTCGGCTTACCCTCATCAGATTGAGCCACACTCTCTTGGAGTCTAGTAATATTCTTCTGAACACTAGGCGAAGACCGGGTGAGGTTCAATACCTCCATCATGCTCTGGCTAGACGAACCGTCAGAAAAGCAACGGGTGTTCTGTCACAAAACAACTACGTATTATCAACTGCTAATGCCAATTGCAGCTTGCTCTTGGTGGTCGCAAGGGTCTTCAACAACTTTTCCACATCTACAAGTTGCAAAGGCCACGCCAGAGCACGCCCCACACTAGAGGATTTCCCCAGTTTTAAGCTTACTCTGAGGTCTTGCAATCGGACCAAGCACCTGCGGAGAGCGCCATCATTCCCATCCATTGTCTTCAAGGACGGCAAAGACGAGGCATTGTCAGACTCAATTGCCTTCACCAATCTCTGTGCGATGGTCCCAACACTGGAGACCTCGTCCAGAATCCGAGAGATATCTTGGGGCGCATCTCGGACGCCCATGCGGTAGTCATAGCACACGGACACCAACGTACCACATACCTGGACAATGCCGATGAGGGTGCCTACAAGGCCAATTGGTTCAACCATATCAAGTGCGCACGAGCATGCAAATCAGAATCAAGGCTGCTTGAGGCAACATTCCACGGCAGGAGGCCACAGCCTTGAAGATGGCATTTGAAGTACGAGCTAGTGGACGGGCGCGACCCAGATTGGAGATGGACTAGTCCATACATGGACATCACGTGAAATTGTCTCACAAGGCTACAAACACAGGGACGGATGAGTAGATCAGAGAAGATGTGACTGCTCACTGATTAGGCCTTGGGCGCTCACTGATTGGTCATCCGTGATGTGAGAATTCACCGAGAAAGCCCGAAGTACCCTCAATGAAGCGGTGGTACCCAGAAGAGGGAAGCTACGATCATTTAAGAAGGCAAGTATGTATAGGGTGGTACAATAAAAACTTGACGTTAAAGAGCATACCAATACAATAGTGATACAGATTCTCGCAACTCCAGGAATAGCACAAATGTGTAATCATACCCCCTCAACTTTCTCCCCCGGTGCCAACATCTTGATATAACGATGCTCTCCCGTCTCTAACACCGTAATAGGATCGTTAACCCGCAGCGTAAATTCTATACCATCAGTCAGTTCTACCCAAAAAGCCCAAACAAAGCAATAGACAGAAGAAGATACCTTTAACAGCAGGAACACACTGCATCCCCAAGCATGCATTGGTCAAATCCCCAACATCAATGCGTCTATACCTCTTCAACGTCCGATCCGGTTCCCTAGGATGTCGTATGCCCGTATCAGGATCTACATTGGGCAATTTACACCTGATAGTCCGACATGCAGTGTAGATTTCCACCCCATCGCCAGAGGAATCTCCAATAATTATCCTCTTCCATTCATCCTCCACAAACTTCCCCGGCCCCTGAACGATCACATTCGCCCTAAATCGCCTCACACTCAACTCGGGAATCTCGTCCGCACAGTTGGCAGCAACGTCCCTCACGCTCGCCATGTTGAGTAAATGGATCGGATACGCGTCCGCGAAGCCAGTCACGGGCTGGAAGCCTATATTTTCTTTGCGAGGGGCGTTGCGGTAGATTTCTCGTCTGTGAGTGGTGCTTGCACGGAAGAGGGAGAGTTTTCTCCGTTGATGAGATGGGAGGGTGGTGTCGTATGTTAGGAGATCTTTCAGGGCTGCGGGGAGGAGGTGAGAGTAGTTTTGTGCGAGGGGGATGTCTTTCCAGATCTTGACGGGGGTGAGGGGGAATTGTGTTGTTGAGTTAGGCGGGGGTCCGATGGGGATGGTGAAGGATGATTGGGATGGGAAGATGTGCAGGGTTCTGAGCAGGGCGATTAGGGGGTTGCGAGATGGTGGGAGGGGGTAGTGTATTAGCAGGACGCCGTTTGATAATGTCTCTGGATTTGTGGCTGAATATGTAGGTGACAATGGATCAGGAATCCAGATCTCTGGACGGAGGAGGGCAAGCTGTCGGAAGTCGCGGTCCCGGAGTGTGCGGGCTGTCCAGGTTCCATTCGCCTCGTCATTTTCTTTCTCATTTGATGTTGAGGATGACGTGTTGGTGCCAGCGGTGGCAGGTTGTGGTGAAGGGAAGAACTCCGCAAAACAAAACAGCCGATCATACTTCAAACCCGTCTCTATCACATCCGCTGCCTCGAGCTCCACTCCTGCGCAGCTCTTGATCGGGTATGTGAACAGCGCTTTGATGCGCCAGGCTGGAATCCCAGATTCAGGCTCTGTGGCGGCGCTGGGCACGCCGTGGATGTATTTGGGTGAGTATTCATCATGCAAGTTCGAACGCTGCAATGGTGAGAGACCCAGTCTGCGGCAGCCTTTCGGGGGCGGGGGTGTGGGGTTGAGGTAGGGGAGAAGGAGAATAATGCAGACGAGGATGGGGACTGTGATGGATAGGAGGAGGGTAGTTGGGGCCGAGTTTAAACCATGTTGAATGGTGGCAGGAATGCTAGAGAGTAAGTCTAGCATTGGTGGTGCGTATGTAGGCGAAGGGGTTCAATAATTGATTGATACTGGTGATGAAAGTGGTGATTGTAGGTGGAAAAATCATTCCTGAATATGGCGTCGGCAGTGATTATCAGATTATCAATCGCCGGTGTCGGAAGATGCCGATGGTGGGTCCACTCATAGCCAAGGCTGCTGGTCTTCTGGATGAAATTTGGGTTTAAGCTTTACCAGGCACTTTGTAGCTACCTTGAAAATACCCCTAACTTGCTTGCAATCCCAGACAGGAAGAAATGCGATGTTGGTCCAGACGTCCATCGGCTACACGCCCGATTTTGCGCGCCATGACTACAAGAGCCTACTTTGTTCGCTGTGGAGACAGAGA